AGAAAGAAAGAAAGAAAGAAAGAAAGAAAGAAAGAAAGAAAGAAAGAAAGAAAGGAAAAAGGCAGGTTAATAAAAATTTACAATGTGTCCTTATCTACCTTCTTCACTGGATCTGGCACTATGTAACTTTTGGCTCTTTCCCAAAGTCAAAATGACCATGAAATGTAAATGTTTTGTATGGATTCAGGGCATGAAGGCACCATGACAGTGTAAGTACAGGCACTCACCAAAGAGACTTTCAGAAATGCTTCAGGAATAAGAACAACAGGAAAAAATTGGAAGCGAGGAGTATTTTGAAGGGAATTACTGATGGTGTGTCTTTTGTTGTAATGTTTTTCAAAAAGCTTAAACATTCACTGTACTGCTTGATCATACTGTGTATGTTTTCTCCATAATTATTGTCCAGAGATGCCCAATGTTCAAAATCTCCAATAGATTTTTATTTATTTTTTTGTGTGTGGTAGTGGGGATTGAACTCAGGACCTTGTGCTTGCCAGGCAGACACCCACACCGCTGAACTATATCCCCAGCACCTTTCAACAGGTCTTAAATATATGAAACATATAAAATAATAATAACATGCATTTTAGAATATGTTAGTCTAAATCTGTAAAGTTGGCTATTGCTTCACTTTTGGCATTAAAGTACGTTGAACTAGCTGAGCATGGTGGTACACGCCTCTGGTCCCGGCACTCACCCTTCAGCTGAGGCAGGAGGATCATTGTAACTTTGAGATCAGCCTATGCTACAAAGTGAGCTCAAGGCCAGCCTGAACTGAATATCAAGACCCTTTCTCAAATTTTTAAAAAGATAAAATAAAGTAATTTAAGCTAAAATTAATATTGTAATTAATGTAGTAAATTATTATATATTAATTTATTACAAAAGATGGGAATAATATACAAAGTTTATAAGGGCAAAAGGGAACTGCTTTATCCATTGTACTCTCTGAAAGTAACAACTATTTGTGGCTCATTAATGATTGTTTCTTTGTCCTTTTCACAAAAATGATGGAACACTTTACATACCTCCTCAAAAATCTACTTACTAGGCAGGCAGCCAGGGAAGGCAGTTAAAGGTTGGAGAAGTAACATAGACTCCCGAAGTGGGGAGCGATATCTACCCCCCCCTGCCCCAGCCTCCTCCTCCATGGAGTGGGACTAGAAGCCCTCCCCCTGCCCTGCCGAGCTGCCAGCACTAAGGAAAGCAGTGGAAGGAAGCAGGAAGCGCAGAAAGCAGCTTTTTGCTCTTGTAAAGCCTCTAGAATGACAGCTATTGCTTGCATAAATTAACTATCATGAAGACACTGCTACTCATAGTCACCTAGACATCTCACTTGGTGCATAGCATTTGCAGTGTAAATGTAAGCTGGTGGAGGTAGCCATCCTGGGGGAGGCTTTTTGTGCTGCTTTCTGTCCATTTCATTCTCACCTGCTTCCCGGGCAACCTTCTGCAAATTCACAGTTGCCCTCACACACAGAGCACATTCACCTTCAGGCCTGCACACCAGTGGCCCTGTTTTCCTTTACCTGGCCCCACTTTGGAGCACCTGCAAGGTCTGTAGGAAGGTGGGCTTTGTTGTGCCTCAGTGTCTGCTTCTGCAAAGTCAGTTACCATACACACAGGGAGATCAAATGCGTTTATACAAGTAAAGCCGTTAAACAGTACCTGGCATTCAGTAAAGCTAAGCAGTAATGACCACCCATACTTTGAGGTCAAATTCAAATTTCATCTCCTGTAAAGATTTCCAGGCAGCACATCAATACCCACCCTTGCCCTGGCAATCTGTCCCTTAAGAAGTGAACCCTGGGGCTGAGGGTGTAGCTCGGTGGTGTAGTACTTTCCCTGCATGTATGAGACCCTGAATTTGATCCCCAGCACTGCAACTCAATATTTAAACAAAAAGTAAGCTCTCTTTCCCCCATTTTCAGAGAATCTGATGAATAAAATAATACATAAGCCAGATGCAGTGGTGCATTCTGTAATCCTGG